AAGGTGGAAATGAAGAGAACTGAATGGACTTAAGAGATATTTAGGGGTGTAAAACTGACAGGACTTAGTAATAGCTTGAATGCAGTCAATAAAAGAGGACAATTATTTAAAGATTACTCATGTATCTATCTGGCTTGCACAATTAGATGAACAGGGAATATTTAAAGATGATCAACTTTGGCAGGAGGAGCTGAGAAGAGGAAAAATTGTAAATTCCGTTTTGGATGTGTTGTATTTGAGATACCTTTGAGATATGTAAACGGCAGTCTAAGAGTAAGTTCAGATATAGTTGGCCCTCCACATCGGTTGGACTCTGCATTTGTGCAGAAATATTTGGGAGAAAAAAGGAATAGCTGTGTCTTTCCAATCATGTATAGACCTTTTCCTTGTCATTCCTAAAAAACTGAGTATAACAATTATTTACTTAGCATTTGCATTGTATTAGGTATTGTAAGTAATCCTGAGATGATTTAAAGCATGAGTGAAGGTGTGTAGGTTATATGTATGTATGCAAATACTATGCCATTTTATACAAGGGACATGAGCATCTACAGATTTTGGTATCTGAGGTAGCGGGTCTTAGAATTAATTCTCCCAGGATACTGAGGAATGACTGCATCTTAGTCCAGTGCTTAGAGAAGTCTGGCATACAGATACAAATTTCTTCTCAGCTGGCAGGTTAGGCCTGAAAAAAAAATATATGTGTATATATATATATATTTTTGAGTTGTCTGAGAATAAATAGTAAGCTGTGATTATAGTTGACATCACCTGGGAAAGAAAAGAGGACCTAGGATTGAGTCTTGAGGAATCCTAATATCCAATGGATTGCTAAAAGTTCATTAACCTGTACAGAAGATTAAGAAAGAATAACCAAGGAGAAAGGAAAAAACCCCAGGAGAATGTAATGTCACAGAAGCAAAGGAAGGGGAGGATTTTAAGAATAACAAAGTCATTGACAGTGCTGAATAGTATCAGAAAGCAGAGTTGTACAGCCTAAGTGTGGCGGGTCCATAATAGCATTAAAAGTTCAAGTAAGACAAATAAACAAAAAAAGAGTTCAAGTAAAATGAAGACTTTTTTTTTTTGAGACAGAGTCTCACTCAATCACCTTGGGAAAAGTGCTTTGGCATCATCGTAGCTCATAGTAACTGCATGCTCCTGGGCTCAAGCAATTCTCATGCCTCACCTTCCCAAGTATTTGGGACTACATGCACCTGCCATGTGATCCAGGCATATTTTCTATTTTTAGTATAGATGAGGGTCTTGCTCTTGCTGTGGCTGGTCTCGAATTCCTGAGCTCAAGCAATCTACCAACTTCGGCCTCCCAGAATATTGGGATTGCAGGTACGGTGGTACCTGGCCTAAAATGAAAAGCTTTTCATTTCCTTTTAAAAGCTGTTGGATTTCAACATGACTAAGCCTAAGAAGACCTGCTTCAGTGGTATGATAGGGGTGGGAAACATATCAGAGGAAATATGAAATGAGCAGGAGAGACTGTGGTAGTAACAACAATTTAATCACCATTCTGAAGTTAAGAGTTTAGATTGAAAAAGCAAAACTTAGAAACAAAAATATCGTAAAGAATGAATGAAGATACATACATTCATAAAAGATATCAGACGATTGCTGCAACGAAGTATTAAGCAACAATAATAATAGTAATGCAAAGAAAGTAACATTCGCAGTGTCAAACAAGAGTATGTCTACCACAGAATGCTTTGAGTCTGAGGTTCAGTATAGAGTCATCAATTAACTTCTTTTTATTTTTCTTCCCAAAGCCTCTAAAAATAGACAAGTAATATTTATGAGTAAAAATAAAAGATAATTTCAAAAAACAGATCATGCCAAATCTTATATAGACAATAGAAAGAGAAGAAATACTTCAAAATCATTCTGCTTAATCTGGATACACCTGATATTAAAATTGGAAAAAAAAATTATTATAAAGGGGAAATTACAGACATAATTCACTTTTAAATGAGGATGCCGTATCCTGTATCCTAAACAACATATTAATAAGTTGAAGTAAAAATTAATGTTTAATGTACTCTAGTCCTTATCTTAAACATTGTTATTGTTGTTAAATTTTAAGCCTTTTTGATTTTGTGAAGGCAAAAAGTAGAAACCTGGCAAATGCGTGTATATGTAAAAATAAAAAAATAAAAAGAAAGACGGGAGAGACTAGGTAAAATTCAGGTGTAGTGTGTCAATAGTTCATCTTTAAAGGAAAAATTACAGTCCTAAATAATCATCTGACGTGCTGTTCGAGGCAAGCAGATGGCTCTAAGAGCTCCCCTAAGCTTGTAACCCAATATCAAGGCAATGTATACTGTAGTTTAAACAGAAATAACCATAATTGGTTTTCATTCCCCTCAAAGCAACCATGACCAAATAGAAATATTCAGTATTAGTGGGTTCATGTAATCAGTTGGCAACGGACTAAAAAAAATTTCACAGAAGGTTAAACTGCAATTTCATATCCATGAACATTAAATGAGATACCAAGTTAATCCACAGGATCATGAGAAATAATCAATTTTTTGTGTAATCTGTTATGTTTATTGTGGTAGTAGATATGACACATCAATAATCACAACAATATGTTATCATTATGGGCAGAATAATGAGAAAATTAATTTAAAGATAATTAACTCACAAACACAAATACTCAACATCTATGTATGTCTAGGGATTTAGCAGTGAATAAATATGATAAAAATCACACCTTCATGAAGGTTAGAGTCTAGGTAGGGCGGAACAATAGTAAATGTCTCTAAGCATAGAGCGTTATGAGGTAGAAAGACTGGTGTTTGACCATACATTAGGGTTTATTTCTTCTTGTACTAGAGTAGTATATGAGTAGTATATGATAGGTGAAAAATAAATCCATGAAGGCTAAAAGTGGTTTGGTTACAGAATAAAGGAAAAAAGAAAAAGCAATAAAAATGAAAATGTATCTCATGTTACTAATCTATGGAAAAGATATTTCAATTTTGTGTTTTCATTCATATTTACCAAATAATAATAACTATTAACAGTTAAAAAAAAAGCAAAACTTATACAAGGACTACAACAAAATAGATGCAATGCTACAAAGTTCTACTAATTCTTTGAATGCTACAGAAATCCAAGAAAGAAAGGCTTTAAGTGGCTGGGAAAGTCTAAGACCCAGAAAGTCTTTAGAGAAGGAAAAAGCTTAAGCAAGAGTATTTAAGGAAGTGCAAAATTGAGTAACTGAAAATGCTCATGAATTCTTTTCATGTAATGAAGGAATACATGATTGGGGAGGTCAGAAGTAGGACTGGCTGGGAATGATAAAAATAAGCCAAGTGATATGGACACAGTCCTCTGTTTTGTAATGTAGGCTCAGCATTGATTTAGGATTGGGTAATCCTATTCTCTCCTCCTCTTTGTTGTCAACCTATAGACCAATCAATTATACTGCAGGGTTGGTAGGAAAAAGAAAGAAGAAGCATAATTCAGTTGTGATGTTCACTGAAAGGTGGGTATGAGTAAAACCAAAGGCTAAAATGCAATTTTATATTATTTTATTTGTGATTTTGAGGCAGTCTGATAGAGTAGAAAAGTATAAAGACTTTAAAGCTGGAGGGAATCTGGTCTGAATACTAACTCTGTCCCTTACTACCTACATTGCATTGCAAATGCAATCAATCTCTCTGTACCCCAGTTTTTGATTCATAATATGGGGAAAAGAGTAAGTTTCTTGGCAGAGTTGTTACTGGTGTAGAGATGAGATGGTAGTGCTTGAATGATAGCAATCTAGTAAATGGTGGCTAATATAGTTTTATTAAAACTATGATATAAGGCAGAAAATATATTCAAACAGACAACCTTATATACCTAACATAGGGACATTTTATTTACTGGTGAGCCCTAATTTACATTTAAATACTTATCTATAGGCAAGTGAAAAGCATTAGATACCACAGTTTAGTTTTTGGACCTATTTTGAAATAAACATACTATAAATTTTTACAACTAATGACATTAAATATATAATCATTCAATAAATATTTTAAAAGTCAAAATGTATTCTTACTTTTTGTTATGGCTAATTTTGTAAAGCCGAGAAAAAGAAACAAAATAAGAGAAAAAAGGGAAAAAGTAAGCCAGGAGAATAAAACAAGCAACTAAAATTAAGGGTGAAAAAAAGAACAGAGGACAGGACTGCCTACAGAGATCAGAATGACAGAGACAAGACAGAGAAGGTGAGAGCTTGATGGAGAACCTGTCTGGACCTCCACATCGGTCATATCTCTTCTTTCACTATTTCTTTCTGATAGGCTAAACCAAAGTACTGGGAGCCGCCTGCTCTGCCAAGCTGGCTTTTCCTTGCCTGTTCATGCCACTGCTATCATTTTTTCCCAGCAAGCTTTCCCTCCCAGGAGCCTCCTAACCAGTATTTAAATTGACAGTAGAGCTGGTATTGCTATGTAGTGCTGTAGGCCTCATCCTCTCAGTTATTTCAAAACAAAACAAAATACGTATGTTATGTTACAACCAACTCCTGACAGAAATAAGAAAGTAGGGCTGGGTGCAGTGGCTCATGCCAGTAATCCCAGTATGCTGTGAGGCTGAGGCAGGTGGATTGCCTGAGGTCACAAGTTCGAGACCAGCCTGAGCAAGTGCAAGACCCCATTTCTACTGAAAATGAAAAAACTGAGGCAAGAGGATCACTTGAGCCCAAGAGTTTGAGGTTGCTGTGAGCTATGAAGCCATGACACACTACCAAGGGCGACAAAGTGAGACTCTGTCTCCAAAAAAAAGAAATGAGAAAGTATATTTATAGACCATTGGGATTTTCCTTGGGAATGCTTTTTAAGAGATATGTTTGATAAACTTTATCATTTTAAGATACTAAAAAGAGTGACGAATATAACTTAAGACAACATGCCAAAGGCTAAGTGAAATTAAACCAAGGGAAAAATCCAGACTCTGAGATAACTAACCCCGATTTATTTAGTATCTCCTCTTACTGTGTGCTGAGGGCCGTCTTCATTATCCCGCATGTAGAAAGGCTTGAGTGCTAATGGATAATTAATGACGAAGACTGGTATGTTGCCACAGTGCTTCACTAGGTACTTTTCGTGTTCAGTTTGTAGATCAACACCCCACTGTAATGAGAAAAAAAAAAGAAAAAAAGACCAAAAAAGATAGAGCTGAAGTACACAATTAAGAACCCCAAAATAATCTGAATCAGTTCCAAGGGCTTCCTTTCTCTGAGACTCAGTGATGTGTGGAGATGTCTACTGAGGTGACACAGCTGACTAAACTAGAGAGTGACATTTGTTAACAAAAACAGCAAAAGGCCTGGAAAGATGAAAGCTGAAGCCAGGAGATAAACACTGTGCTTTATGTACCCTGTCTCAGGGACAGCGTCCAGCAGATGAATAGCACCTGCGGGAAAACAAACTACACTTTCCAAAGGGATAAAAACGGACTTTAGAATCACAGTTGTAACTAAGATTGCGTGGAGTCTCTTCCACAGTTACTATCCCGAAGTTTCAGGAAATTAAGTGACGGAAGATAATATTCCTAATACTGAGCCTGGCTTTGGCCAGATGGCTTGTCTTGGTGGATTTATTTTTTTAAATAAAAGATTCAACTTTTATATCAGATGCTCTTTGATGAATATTTAATAATACTGTTCAATCTATTATTTGGCAAACACTATTAAATTACTGGATATAAGGGTAAGAGAAATAGTTATAATCCCTGACTTTGTGAAGCTTCCAGGGTAGAAGACAAACATTAAACTAAAAATTACAAAAAGAGTTCACTGATTAAAAATAAGCACAGGTTACTATAATACCTTAGAAGAGGATCTTTAATTGGGGATTAAATTGATATAAGGAACAGTTTGAAGACAAAAGTATTACATTCTTTTTTTTTTTTT